AGTTGTATACATACAAATTGAACAAAGTTATCGGAATTATTTTGTTCCATGTTGTTGTAATTAGTAAATATTGAATAGTAGAAAAAGGTATTTTTAATAAGCCGCCTGCAATATGTAAGTAGGAAAAAATTATTTCACAGCATTTTATGAAATGGAACTTATAACACATTCATAATTTTTAAATTAGGAAAAAAAATGATTCCTGAATTTCTTCTAATTTCTGAATCGCAACTCACATAACATACTGAAATTAGAAGAAAAAAAATAGTTTTATAGTTGTTTCTGAAAGGGAACTCATAAAGATATTAATATAAGCAGAATTCTACTAAGCCTCAAATAGTTAAAGGAAAAGGTAAAAATGATCAAAATTGCAAAACAAAAAAATTTTACAAACTGAACTAAAATTTCTCAGAAACTTCCTTCAATTTAAACATTTTTTGTACTATTCAGTGATAAAATGTTGGTGTTTTTTGCTATATTTATTTTTGATTTTCATAGTCTGAGGAATGCTCTTTTTTGCATACTAGTTAATCGAAACTAGATGACTGAGAATTCATACTAATCAATGTACGAACAACGCCAAAAAATTGCATGAAAAATTTTATAAAATATCCCCATATGAATGTTTTTTAAAATTGTTTTTCCATTTGTTTCTTCAGCAACTATCTCACATTAATGAAGAGTAAAATTTTAGACTCCTTTCGATTGTAAATATTTATCAAATTAATTTTTTATTAACTCCCTTCATGTGTCATCACATTGTATTCAAGTCCATCATATCCAAGTAGATCTAAAATACCACCGATTGGAAACTCTTCTGCTTTACTCACTAAGTTTGAAAGTTTTAAGTTTAAAAAATTAAAAAGCAACTCTCATTTTTTAAGTCGTAAATCCTATTGTATTAATTCAATTTGACTAACTTGCAGTTTTGAAAGTAAATATTAACTTTTATTACTGTCTTAAAACTTTATTTATTCTTTAGCGCTTATTATTAGACAACATAACTATCAACAATGTTTTTCAAAACATTTTGAACTATCTCCTCTGTTACACTTGGAGTTAAAATTTGAATAGCATTTCAAATAATTGGATGAATAAAAACTTTCCAATGACGATACCATATAAAATCCAATGCTAAAACTCTCAAATACTTTACTAAATAGAATTTTTTAGACTTCAAACCAGACGTTTGTAAGTTTAAACGTCTGGTTTCTTTTTAATATGTTATTAGCATTTTGAATTAATTTAAATTACATTTAACAGTTTCAAATTTCGTTACAGAATTTAATTTCATGAACTGATTTCAGATACTCTATGATTAAGTAATAATGTTATGAAATAGCATTCATTAGTTAATGCTCATATAGAGATAATTATTTTACTATCAACTTCAGTTCTAAAAGATTTTGCATAAGCGAATACGAAAATAAAAGCTGGTATTTCCAGGAAATTCCTGGAAAAGTCGTCCTTCTTCATTTCGTTTTCATTTACAGGAATAAAAGGTTCGCCAGATAGAAGCGCGTTAATTAATTTGAAGGAAATTAATTGGATCTCTTTGTACCTTACGATTATAAATGAGTTTTGTTCCAGGCCTTCGTCTCTCTTTCAGTCTAATGAGGGATTTTTCTAGGGCAAAAGGTCCTTCAATGTGAAAGGGAAATGTTTTAGAAGAAAGCTGCTTTTTCCAGAAATTAGTTATTTGAAATGCTGAAGTGCTCTGCTGAATGCCAGGATTCAAATGCTTAATCTGCACGTCTAACCCTTCTGACATATTTCATCTCGAAATTAATTGTCAGGTTATTGTAAAATCACAAAGTTAGATTTGGGGTAACGTAAATAAAGTATTGATATTTATTATTATTTTTTTTTACATAGCTGAAGACAAAATGATTTTTCTAATTCAAATACTCGAAATTACGGGATAAATTTGTTTTTAGCTAATATATGCGATTTTTGAATTTGATTCAAATGTTTAGTTTGTAAGGCTAATATTTTTGACATCTTGAATTTATTTATTAAGTTATTCTAAAGTCATCAAAGTATATTATGGTAACCAAAATAAAGTATTTTTATTTATTTATTAATTTTTTGTAACTCAAGATCCGTTTAGTAAGTCTAAGTTTAATTTAGAAAGATATATGGGGTCAATTTGACCCCTTTCGTTTTTTGTTGCTCTGTAATCTGCAATTTGAAGAATGACTTACTGAAAGTATTGAGTATTTCTGACTTTTCATAATTTGATTTAATTTAAGATATGCAGAATGCATATGTAGAACCTTATTACTAGAATAACGGTAGGGGTCCAGAGTTGCGCTTTAGGCAATGTGGTAGGTATTTCACAACTTCAGGTAGTTTAGGGTATAAGTTACCATTTGGTATAGAGAGGGTACTCCAGTTTCATTAAAAAAAACAGTGTTTTTTAACTAATCTAAAATTATGTAACAGAGAAAAGGAAACTCAATTATCTAAGAAACTAATGTATGCGTATATTAGAAAGGACAATGTTCCGTTTCTTCACCAAATGTTTTCGTAAACCAGATAGAATGAAATAGCATGGAATTTCAGTGATCAAGTCTATAATATGTTTTTATTAAATTAATTATGATTATATTTTAAGATATTAGATGTCTAGTTGATCTGCACACAAGCAAGCTGGAAAGAGCCAAACTGGCCTCTTCAGTCTTTTTCAGCCAAGTACAGTCTTTCCAGTGTTGAAAACTTCAAATTATCAATCCTAGACTCTTTTTATTTTTAAATGGTATATAGTTTAAAAATTGAAAATTTTAAAAGCATTTCCAAATTAAATAAACAAATGAAATTATCAGATTTTCATTAAAAAATTTATAACTGGATTTTATAGCAATATTATGCGACAAAACTAAATAATCAGTGATATAACTAATATGAACTTATATTGTATTAATACTTTTTTACAGATTACTTTTATTTTGTTTCTATCAATCTTTTCTTGATAAACGTATTCCGATTAAAATAAAATAAAAGGTATGCTTTGGTCTTATTTTTCTCAATACCTTTGCTCACACGTTCCTTGATTCAGAGGATTTGATTCTTTTATTTTTTTATTTTTATTTCTTTAATTTTTATTATCATATTCATTTTCAAATCACAAAAAATATTTTTAACTGTATACTTTTTACACACTAAAAATATACAATTGAAGAAATTAAATAATAATATAAACACGATTTCCGACTGTTTTACTGAATCTATAATTACAACAAAGCGTTACCCCGAAATGCAACTCATTAATTCCTTGATATTATGAATTTTGTTTTGAGAGAAAGTATACGTAGCTCTAGATCAGGTCCGAACCCAAGAGTTGCAATGAATTAGCTTTCAAAACTTTATTTTTAATAACTATCTTAAAATATACGCAAGGCAACTATTTCATTAATAATAGCCAATATCAATTGAAACGAATCAAAATTAAATTTCGTTTTTAAAGCCGTTATACTTTCTATAGATATCTTGTGTGCATAGAGGGCCATAAAAAACATGTGCTTAGTCTTGCAAGCTGTATTAAATAATGAAATCCAGCTTGCAAGTTCATTATTACTAAAGAATGAGATTAAATATCAAATACATTATGGCGATTTGACGCACACAGCACATTTATTATACATAAAATATGAAAGACTTAATGACAAGCACAAAACATTCCACAAAAAAGCGATGCCATTTACAATAATTTGAAAGCAACAAAACTGAAACAGCGGTGGCCGTTGGTATCCCCTTCTACACTCAAACCCCAACCAGGTTCTTGGTGCAGAAAGTGATATCTGATTCCGTCTAATGCTGTTACTTACAAATTAATAGTTGTTATTTTGAATGCTTTACTTTGCTATGTTAAAAAATAAACGATATGTTTCTAACTACTAAAACTGCAAATAAAAATGGAGAATGATTAAGGAATTACAGCAAAAAAAAAAAAAAAAAAACTCGCCACTCATTTTTGATAAAACCATACACACATATAGGTTGCTCAGTAAAGAGCACTGTTAATATGAATTTTTAGAATGTTTATTACATCTTGCTTTACTTTAGTGGGATTTGTCGGATTTCGACAGCGTTTTCTCACTTGCTTAAATATTAATTGTCAACCCCCAAAATGTTTACTTTTTAGTTTTAATTGATTAAGATTTTGAAATACATGAAATATGTAATTATTTTTACTGAATACCCTGTTTAATTTTTAGGATATTTTGCCACCCTTTTTAATTAATTCGCTTTTGTCTCTGTGACAATGGAAATTTGAAATCAAATTTTCGACCCTTTTTCAGATTATCTATAGCTCTGAAATTTACATTAGATCTCAATGCTTGATGCCGATGAAAAGTTATAAATTCATACCTTATTGCTGCAACATAGATTTGTAGCAATTGATATTTCGAGCATTTTTTTGATGAAAATTAAAATACATGTAACTAAAATGGGGAAAATCATAAAAGATTTTTTTAAGAAGCAATATCGAATCAAATATACTAAAGATAATACAAACCTGTTTTTGCTACATTTAAAACGGGTAAAAAAGACGCATCACAATTATAATAAATTTAATTATTTATTATAAATTTAAATTAATTAATATATCTACTAATTCCTTCGAAACTGATCAGCCTTACATGATTCGTTTTAGATCTTTTCAGTTTATTATATTGTATTAAATTAGTTTAAAAAAATAATTTTATTATGTAAATAAGTTCCTTTTGGTTACATAAAAAATAATACTTTTGTTATCCAAAGTATCTAATGAAATACTTAAATTTATATTTTATTAAAATTGAAATCAGCTTGATTTCAATTTTAATAAAATATATTCTTGCATAACAGATCAATCACGTGCAATATTTACCGCTAACAAAACAAAAATAATTTTAAAGTTCAAAACGATTTTGAACGATCACTTATACTTTATATTACGTTATTTGTTTACTAGTGAAGGAATAGAAAACGACATTCGTTAATCATTTACCAACATTATGAACGTTTTTACAAGTTTGGACAAGCACCCAGGGTGGAGTGAAACTATTTACAACCTGGCAGAGCCGAAAATAACAGATACCATTTCGGATTCAAGGACTAGGTAATAGGATTAGTTTATAAATTTAATTTATTTCAATCAATTCTGCCCTAAGGAAATATTCATCTAAAATATTTTAAGGATATTCTCCCAAACTAATAATTTGAATCTTAGTACATTACAATCCGATTATTAAGTTAATAGCTGTTAATGTGCTTTTTCACTTTTTTATTTCGTGCACTGTGCATATAGCAAATCTACTTTTTGTTCTTTCTAGCTAAAACTAAGAATTGCACTTAAGTTTCATAATTTTTCTTAAGTATCTTTCCTTTTAAACCTTTTTGTTTAAATATTTTTTTTTCAGGTCTCCGTTTGCTTTTTTTCTTTCTACAAAATACGTAACGCTATGTGTGCATTGTAAATGATCTTTGAATAGCAAGTGATAATCAGTGAACATGATTATCCCTGGTGTAGCAAAATGGCTGAATCTTAAATAACAAATCTGGTATTATCTACAATAAAATTATTTTGTCGGTGTGGTCTCTGTTACAGCTACAAAACCGTTTGAGCTAGCGTCCTTAAAGTTGGAGAACGGTAGAAAAGGACAATTTTAGATTCTAAAAACCATCCAATAATTTCAATTAAATCTCGCGGGAGAGGGGTTAGAAAAATTTAATTGTTTCATTGGTTTAGAATTCGTCATAAATTAATTAAACTGCAGACGATTCTGCTTCGCTTTATTCATTTTTTGTTTAGATAAATGATTTTCGCTAACTTATAGCTCTCAGGAGTTTACGGTGTGTTCTTTAATATTTAGTTTTTTTTTTATTGATAATGTCGGAAAAAAACTCAATGATCAACAGGAACGTGGTAGTATAAGCGTACTATGTTATCAAATTAGTTTTTCTTATTTTATTCAAGTCTAAATATTGCTTATAGTTAAGCCTTTAATAGGAGTTTCTGTAAAACTAAGTAGTTTAAAATCGACAGTAATTGAAAAAAAAATACTTACTGGGAAGAAAAATTAATAGAGAGTTGATAATAGTTTGTTTAAGACAAACTCATTGCTCAACAGGAACATGGTAGTATAGGCGAACTATGTTATTAAATTAGTTCCTAAGGAAATCCAAGTGTAAATTGTGTTTATAGCTATGCTTTTAAAACATGTTTCTATAAAACTAAACATTTTTGAATAAAAATATATTTACTGGAAGGAAATATGAATAGAGACTTGGTAATAATTCGCTTAAGACAAAGGTAAAAGATTACCTTACCTTTGATGACGCCTGTGATGCTTTATTAATTTTGTCTATAAGTAGGTACTAATTGAAATTAAAAAAAAGTAGTTGTATATTGTATTAAAATTAAATCAAAGGAGAATTGTCACTAATTAATTTAAGAGAGGCGTGAACTATTATTAACGCACTCTAATAATCCTCAATAAATTTTAATAATAGGTACTTTTAGGTATAAGTACTTTTTGAAATGAAACTTTAGGCTTTATACTAAAAGGCAAAATTAATGAAAAAAAAGCAGTTCGAATTTGTTTAAGTAAAACGCAAAAAAAAAAATATATTTCATGCTATTGTTGAAACTAATGATGCTTAATTAGTTTTGGTATTATGGTTATTTTAATTATTAATTCATACTTGACACTGTTTCGAAATATACCAAATATACTAACATAGGTAATTTGTATTACATTATATTTTGTACCGATCAAATCAGCATCAAAAGTGTACAGTTTTAATCCAATGGCGGCTTAGCGATAGGGCAAAATTGGGAGAATGTTTCTCCCCTACACACTATTTCACTATCGAAGTGTATGAAAAATCTGTTTTGCTATGCAGAGAAGACTGTTGATTAAAATACGACGTTTTACGTGCAGAACTGACAGTGGATTAAAATAAATACTGTAGAAAGATATTTTTTTAAAAAAAAACATTAAAAGCGATAACTATACCGGAGAAAATCGTTTGATTGGTGCTAAAAAGAAGACCAATCAAGTACAATCATGACTTGACCGCTAGCAACATCATGCCAAATGTAGTTTTCATTTTTAGTAGATGACGAAAAATGTGTTTTGCTTGATCTAATAACGTAAAGTCACTGGTTAGAATAAAACTTTGCAATGAATAAAAATATTTGGAATTATTTTAGCTTTATTAATGGCGTTGGTGTCTAACTTCCACTCTTGTGTATGATTTGGAAAGTGATATTTAGTACCAATTAATTAATTATTTCCTTTTTTTCACTCCTTACAAGGAACGGGTATTTAGCTAGTCTACAATAAAACTTTAGAAAGCTTCCTCTTTATTAACTACTATTTTTTTTGCATAGATCAAGAATTTTATATATTAATGTTTTAATAATAGAAATATTTTTTTTCTTCTTTAGATACACGAAGTACAATGGGTACAATAAAGAATTCTATCAAAATAGGAAGTCAGCCATACCTCGCACTATGGGATATTCTAATCTCTCTTTGAATTCCCCGAATGATTATCTGAGAAAACGTAGCAGCGAATCGAGAAAAGGTAACTGTACAAATTCTTTTCTCAACAATCTGCACCAAGACGTGAAAATTAGAGAAAATTTCTGCTTATCTGTACTATATAAAAATAAATGTTAATTCACCGATTTGCGTATCAAGTTCACTGTGAAAATGATGTGCAGTGAGCAAAAAATAACTCTGAATAATTTTTGGTCTAATGTTTGGATCTTCACATTTTAGGACTCGATCTTAATGGTACGAGATGATACCTCAATGCTACTTAATTAGTGAAGACCATACTTTAAGTTACGAAATTATACAAAAATATACTTTTCCTGAATAAACATACCTTTTTTCCGATTGATTTGTATTTCTGAACCCCAAATTATTGGAGGTAGGCACAATTTAGGAAACATGGTTCCAATAGTTTGGTTATGAAAGCAGTCTAAAGTTTAGACCCTTTATGTTAATTTTACTTTGTGCGAGTATCTCGAAAACTTTTTAAGTTAATCGAAAAAAATTTATACACAATTATAAAATCAGTTTATCCAAAGATAATTCCAAGCAAAAAAATAACTTTTTTAGCAAATATATTAAACAAAATAACAAAAAATAATAAATATATACTAAAAGTTATTTTTTGCATGGTATTATCGTTGGATAAACGAATTTTGTAAATATGTGCAACACTTTTTTGATTCGTTTAAAAAGTTTTCGAGAAAGCATCCGCAAAATTTTAAATTAACATTAAGGGGTCTAAACTTTGGACTGCTCCCTTGACCAAAATATTGAAATCATATTTCGCAGATTGCTATTGCCTTATATATTAGGAGGGGGGGTCAGAAATTCGATTCCGTGGAAACAATGTGTGTTTATCACTGAGAAAGTATGTTTTAATCTTATTTTGTAATTTAAAATATCATCTACAATAATTAATTAGCGTATTTGAGGTTACCTCCTCCAACCATTCATATTGAGTCCTGGAATGTCAAAATCCGATCCTTAGATCAAAAGTTATTCAGGATGAATCGTTTTTATTCTCTTGTTTGTGCACTGCTTATTTTTTTCAAACGTGTGCTTCTTGCTTACCTGCATTATATTTGGCTTATTTACATTATATTTAGCTTAATTACACTTCATTATAATAGTTAAACAACGTCAATACCCATAGACCGTAACACTGACTAAATACATATATTTGTTTTCATACCAATTAATTTTCAAAAGTTTCATTTAAATTTCTCATTATAATTTCATTTTTAGAAAGTAACTGAAGTAAAATTCTCGCAAATTAATTTTCCGAAAATCAAATATTAGTTAGAGAAATATTGCCTCCAGATTCAACTAAAAGTATTGCTGGATATATTTAACTGAAAAAAAACTATTAATGTTATTAGCCTGTAGCGGCGCAGTCGAGTGGGAGTCGTGAGTTTGATACTTGATGTCAACTCAACAACTGCTGGGTGAATCCAGCAAAATCTACTGCGAATCTGTTGTCGCTGAAAGTCTGTAGCTAGATTTAAGTCTGGTTTAATACTTGCACTTGACTCAATAACTACCTGGTGTATACAGAAAAGTCTACGGCAAATTTGCTGTAACTGAAAATCTGCAGCTAGAGGGAAATCTTGAGTTTGTAACTTGCAGTTGACACAACAACTGCCGGGTATATACAGCAAAATCTACAGTGAATCTATTGTAGTTGAAAGTCTGCAGTTAGATGGAAATCGTGAGTTTGTTTCTTGCCGTCGACTCAACAACTGCCGGGTGTACACAGCGAAGTCTATGATGAATCTGTTATGGCTGAAAGTCTGCTGATAGATAGAGTGTGGAAGTTTGAAAAGCGAAGTACCGTCTCATACCCTAACCTCATCATTAGCCCAAGGTCATCAGTACCTGGCATTTCTAGTATGACTGTCTTATAGTTGGGTAGTGTATATAGCATTTCTTATAAAATTAAAAATATGAGAATATTCTAGAAAACTGAACAAAAAATTCTAAAAAAAGATGCCATGGCAACCGTGTTTCGCATTTACCACATTTACTCACTCAGTGTGGCTTATTCCGAATATTTTCTTATACAAATGAAATAATTCGAGTAAAAAAATGGATACAATTCCTCTTTCAAAAAATCAATCTTCTGCAGCATTCGAATGCTAGTTTTCAAACAGGCTTTATGAAAATATCAAAAGTTAGCGTGACATTTGATGTTCCCATTTTTCAGATGCCAACAAATCCGTAAACTGCCTATGCAGAATGAGAAACTGCAAAGAAAGATCCGCTCCAAAAGCTAAAGAAAGTCTGGAGGCTTTGCCAGAAGTGTGCCAAAGAGATTTTCGAACGGAGAATTTTTTAGATGTCTTAAAACGCCCTCCGACGACACCTGCGAGAAGATCTGTTGACAACAGGAAAGGAGATTCTTTTGATTTGGAGACTTCAGGTTTGGTCCCAAAATACACTTTCAAAGAAGTAAATTCGAATTTCATTCTTTTTTTTCCTATCATTATGTAAACTCTTATACTTGCGAATGTTTCAAAAAGGAAACTTAGAAAAAGTGTTAATATTATGAAAGATTTTTGTAATGCATTTCACGATTTTGCTTTCAACGAATAATAAAGATAAAAAAAACTATACATTTTTTAGATATATTAATCAAAGTTAAGATATTAAAACTGAACTTTAATACAATGCCATGGAACCAAATAAAAATTAGCTGAGATATTACACTAAATTGTCCCAATTGTCTACAAAAATGACTTGTTTTGAAGAAATAGTAATAACACCAACATATCCAGTTTGACCCAACTTCAATATCAGGAAATGTTTTATATATATATATATATATATATATACACACAAAAATTTGACAAAAAGAGTGAGATCTTTAAACTTGTAAACCATGTGATTATAAATCCTGATGATTAATTTTAAAATTGTATGAATATATAAATATTAATCACATGCCTTATTTTTAAATTGAGACAATATGAATCCCGATATGAGGCTTTTAAATCACGTGNTTTTTGTGATTTTTAATTTAATTGTTACATATGCTTCATAATATAATACCAATATATATATATATATATAATCGTCATTGAACAGCCGACCCAACTTTTGGGTTTACGACTACTAATGTTCAACTCCGTGGCCTTGTAATTTTGAACCAATCCAGAAGACAAGAGAACTCCTGGATAAAGTATTCTGAGAAATTTGCCATCGTGGAGGATTTTTTCTGATGGAACTAATCAGCATTTGCGTTACATGGAGTGGAAGACCACGAAAACCTCCCACGATTAGCCTGATGGCAAGGAGACTCTAACCCATGATCCGTCTACCACTGAGGATATTTCACGTCAGCTCTGTGGTCGGTGCAAGCCGGATACGGAATTAGTATCGACCAGACATCGCCGGGATCGAACCTCGGTTTTCCTCATTGGAAGGCGAACGCTCTATCCCTTGAGTCATCGCGATTCTATCAGGAAATGTTGAAAAAATCAGCTTGTGCCGGAATTTGAACCACTTGAATTTCTGCGCCATAATCACAGCAATTAAAAATTATTACGAATAATTGAGCCAATTATTCTCAATAATTTGAAATTGATTCTAATATTTGTATGTAAGAAAATTTTGAGGGTTGAATAAAAAAAAACTCTACTTGGGAAAATTTTGAGATGTATTTACTTATTTAAGCTTACTATTAAGTGAATAAAAAAAAGTATGTCTTGCACTGAATTATTCTTAGATAAGCTAGTTTTGTAGCTGTTTGCAAAGATATTTTTTTTTTTTTTTAGAAAACTAACTTGTTAAGTTTTTAGTATTTATTGTACTTGCAGAAAAGATTCTCCTCCTTGACTTCGATTAAGGTTTGATACGTGGTTGAGACTTGCCTGTCACGTTAAAAAAAACTAAATTACGGAACTAAAAAAAAAAAAACGAAAAAATTGCCTTTATGCATTGGTAAAAACATTATTATTGATTTTTTGAATAGCTCATTTTGACGTCAATAACTAAACCCTGCTTCAAATCATGTCGAAAATTTAATTCCTTACAGAACTGCATAAATATGATAATTAGCAAGTAACAGCAGCTCAATAAATTCAAATATGGCCAAACAAAAGTAAACTGAAGAGATTTTACCATCTCTTTTATATAGGATTACGGAAAAACCCCTACCTATATAAAAAAGATAGAGGAGAATTTAGATGTTTCAAGAAAAGAATTCCTCATGTCTCTAAATTGCGTTGAGCCTGAACCACAAATTTTATCCATGGAAGAAAAGGAAAAGATATTGAGGGTAAATATAACTTCTATTTATTTTACAGAGAAACAAACAGTACAAGAAGTTTGAATTTGATATATTCTTAATCACACAGCATGAATTTATGAAAAGAGGAAGTAAGTCGTGATGTTGCCAATGTCACTACGATTAACCACATGGGAAAAATTTTCAATCACATATAGGTCTTGGACGATAATAAGAAATTCTATGCGCGTGGTAATAAGAATTCTTAAAAGCTAGAAACATTGAAAATTCTTACTCAGAAATCTCGCCTAGTGTCAAACATACCAAATTTAATGATGTCTGGTGGATCAAAAAATTTTATAAAACGCAATGGATTTTCTGTCTAGACCAGCACGAATGGATTTAAAATTTTCCTGTTTAGACCAGCATAGAGTTCGTTCTGGTTGACAAATATTAATGAGACTTAGTATTTACTTTATATGTGCAATGGGAAGAAACCAGAAATAAGAAAAAATATTAAATTTTGACTGCCGGGTAAGAAAGGGACACATATAGGACAAATTATTCCGTTTTCATCAAGCTCATGGATTGTCAGTGTGGTTCCTATGGACTCCTGGAGTTCTTTTGATTGCTTAGTCTGTAGTTAAAGATAATTTTAGTGTGTGGAAAACTTTAGGAGACCTGCAAAATTTTTAATATGAAGTATAACATACGGGACATGATTCAATTTTTTGAAATTTATTTATTTTGAAAATTAAAATAAATTAATAATGAATTACAAAATGAAAAAAAAATTGGGATCATTTTAGAAAAGCTACCTGGGTATATATGGTCACCAGATTTTTGACGAAACTTATATGATTTGCGTATCTTATAGGCTAAACAAAGTAACTTGAATATGCAAGGATAGCAGTTAAATTTAATCGAATTAAAAATATAATACCAGTGTTTGTTGAAGAACTTTTTCTACACAAATGGAACTTGGGGAGAGGAGAATGATCAAAGCTTCCTAATTTTTCAAACTTGCAAATACGAGATAAAATTTTGCTTACGCGTTGTGAACACTTAACTGGTCTTCGTTCTAAGCTCAGCCAAAGATTTTTAGACATTCTTCACTTAGGAAGCATTTGCAAATTTTTCTACAAACGCTGAGGAATCCAAACTCAGAAACAATATTTTGAATAAGCTGCAAAGGAGGGGCTGAAACCAATGTATGAACAAAGATATCAAAAACTCTAGTTACAAAAATAGATGCTAATTTTATATTCTGCATAATGGTACATTGCACAGGAAGTTGCTGATTGCTTTTCGTCTTCCTGTTTAAAAGAACATGGATTTAGTACAGTCATGAGCTTCAGCACAAAAAATAAGAATCATCAAGAAATTAGTGCTCTTGGACGCTTACGACTGAAACATAGATCCAAAGATAGATAATCTCATATTATCATTTCAGGATAATATGAGTCGAAATTGAAAAGAAACCTATCGAATTGAAAAAAAAAAGTTACATTTGTGAAATTTAAATTTGTACTTTTCCTTTCATGCATTTTAAATAGAGTCCATTCACTCAAAGGCTCATTTTTAATATCCTGGTAAATAAAAGAATTCATTGTCACAATAAATTTGGTAACCATTTGTCAATAACCATGTTTATTATTATTCTGATAAAAACATTTATAAGTGTCATTAGTTCTTTTCTATTGACATTTGTAGAATAATTTTACGTCTTACATGAATGACTATTGAATTCTTCTTCTCGGTATTTGTAGAATAATTTTACGTCCGGCAGCAATTAATATTTAATTTTTATTGTCATTTCTAAAATAATTTCAATTCCTACAGAAATCCCTATTAAGTTAGCCTTCTTTGCTTTTGTCGAATAATTTTACGTCTTAAGACAATAGCTATTCTGATAAAAACAACTCTACCAGCATTGTTAATTCTTTCTTCTTGGCATTTGTAGAGTAATTTTAGGAAGTTTTTTCCCTTGGCATTTGTAGGGTAATAGAACAATGACTATTGAATTTTTAAAACCCTCCGGATTTTGTATCTGCAGTAAGTATTTTTTTTTTTTTTTGGCTGTGAGAGCCATAAATATCTACCTTCGAACACCTTTTAACTTATCACCGACTTTTTGAACGAAGTTTTTTTTTTATCAAACAAGAACATATTAACTATGAAAACTAATAATTACCTTTGAAATATTTAGTGCGATAATAAAAACTTTCATCTTTTTTTTTAAAATTACGTTATATGAGTTAGGTTATAACAGTTGAATACGCAAGTATGGAGTGGCATATAATTTAGTTTGGTGTTTGCATACGCAAAAATAAATAATTAATAATCAATAAGCTGAAAGCAGTGTTAAAATAAGCGCAATTATAGTTTCGTTGGATTGAAAACAAAGTAGAAATGTTATAAATGTTGAGAATGATAATTAGGGAAACATGATTACAGTTGAATTTTAATTATTTTAATTTAAATTTAAGATTTCTGCTGGAAGTATAAAGAGATTTGTTTATAAATGTAAGTCCATTTTGCAATTTATAAAACACATGTAAGAAAAAAAAATATTTAAAACTTTGTTTCTCTTTTCAACTGGCATTTCATTTAAATAATTCCAGAAAAATACGATAAATATTAAATAAAATCTGAATTATTAATTGCAGTAATACCTAAATACAGGTTTCGAGAATTATTCCTGGTTAAAAAAAGGTAATTAACTCTCGATATCCCTGTAATCCTTTCGCAGAAATCTGCGGAACACCTTCTGGGAACTACTGTTCTTCTCCATTCATTCCTTCCTGTTCATAAAAAGTGCCATCTATTGGATATAATATAAATTATTATTCTGGCTTGATTCTCAACTTTTTTCAAGTTATTTTCTTCCCCAAATATGTCTTACTCTACCAATTTTTTTTCTTAAGTGAAAAATAAAATTCCTAAGAATCACAGAAATATATAAATAATTTGGGAGAAATATCCCCCCCCCCCCAAATTTCTACAAATGAAATTTAAAGCATTACTACTGCTCCGGTTTTATTAAAAACCCTCTTGCAGATATTGCATTTTATTAAAATCAATTTTTTTAATGTTCTTAATTAAGTTAATTGCTTAATTAAATTCACTTATTTTAGTTTTACTGCTTAATTACCTTATTCATTGGGAATCGTAAGAAAAAAAGTTCCTTTCAAATAAAGATCGTTGCTTCATCGAATAATTAAAACAATACATTTTTACCCCAATAAATTGTAATTTCAACGACGATTATTCATTCTTCAAAGGAAAAAATATCAAATTTCCTTTTATCAATAAGCGCTTTTCAAATCATTTGCAATTTAATTTAAACAAAATAAACAGGAGAGTAATAATTAGAAGAAGAAAATTAGTATTCGAAGCAAATGAATTGTAAAAAAGGAAGGGAAATTGTTTAATACTGTGTAACATTACGTTTCTTAATTAACATAAGCAAACTCTTAAAAAAACAAAGATTCGATAATATTGTAATAAGTGTTTGCGTTTTGAAAGCGAAAATTATTCCTCATTTTAATAATTAGAAATACAGAAAGTGTTTAGAAACCTTTAAATACTCATTCAATGTAAATGTAAATATTTAGTGATAATTTTTTTATAAATAATCATTATTTAGATTTTTAATTTAAATGTTGTATATCTTGAATAAATTTTGAATAGACTTGTTTAAAAAAGAAGTTTAGTTTTGAAATCGGTACATTTCAGTAAAATATTACAAACTGTAGAAAATAAAATTTAGAAAAATTAAGAAAAATGAAAAATAAAAGTTAGAAATAATATTTTCGGAGTTCCACATTGTAATTTAGATTTCTTTTTCAGGGTTAAGATATAATATTTTGAAGCTAATACTAGTTTAAATCTGACTTAATGTAAAAACATTCATATTTTATGCATTCTATATCTTTCATTTCCTTTCATTCTACTTAAGTATTTCTGAATTTTCAATGAAATATACGTATATGAGTAAAAAACTATTAATAGTTTAAATTATTTATGCAATAATATTAAAAAAAAATTGCTATGTCCAGTTATATCCATGTATCTAACTATAGATAAAAATTTAATAATGGTGTTGCAGTTGTTCTATTGTTCTCAGTACACTTTTATTGACCGGAAAATCACGTGGTACGATCCAGTTTTCCTAGATTAATTTCGATATTTTTTTATTGTCAACATCTGAAAATTAATCAATTGTATAGAGATGTCCAAGTCAAAGGCTGAACTTTATCCTTTATAAATTAATCAAGCGCCATAATTTTGTGGTTGTGAATGACAACTAGCTGTTTACACTATTCTTATTGGTCGATACGTATTCTCATTTAAATAAAAGCATTTTCTAGTTGGTTACGATCTAACTAATTGAACATTGATGGATTGCCATTGACTAGGTAAGTGAATTGACATCAACTTCGACATCTCTATTGTTTTCCTGTAAAATATTTTTGAGTCCTAAATGTAAAGGTACCTGCAGTATTTATTTTTCTTATTTTACTTTATCATTTTCAAGTCGTTGATTTCGATTGTTTGATATCCTGAAAGTTTTAAACTAAAAGAGTTGTTTCTTTATTGAGTAAAATAATTCTATGATATTACCGTATGATCCCTATTATTAACACTAAAGAGACTCGTTGCGTGATTTAGAATTTAAAGATCAGTTCCATGTTTACACATTTTATTGTATTTAATAAATCAAACTGTTTGGAAAGCGAAAGTATTAAATTACGGTTGTGAACAAATTTGTTATTAATATTAGTTTTAAATGTTATTTTACGAAATAATTACTGGGCAAAATTATTTATGTTCACTAATACACGGAAGAGGCATTACATTATGACCACCCTCCATCTATAACAATGGGCTCGCCCTGGTTTTCATGGTTTCTCGCCCAGGAACAATGTTTTAATGGGGCACATTAGGACCCATAATCCTCATAGAACAATCCCTGACGTCTGTAAGCTACTTGAACATAGTTGCAGACCAGGTTCATCCATTCATGGCAACAGCTTTTCCTGCGGGGGATGGTGTTTACCAACAGGATAATGCACCATGTCATAAAGGTCGAATCGTCATGGATTGGTTCGAGGAACATTCCAGTGACTTTCAAGTCATGTCTTGGCCCCCAAATTCACCTGACCTTAATCCAATAGAGTATTTGTGGTCCTATTTAGAAAACCATATTCGTGCTGTCGCGCTTCCCCCTCGCTATGTGAGGGAATTGCAGGACCAGTTGGTGAGAGCTTAGTACCAGATACCTCAGACTACCTATCAGCACCTTGTGGAATCAATGCCATGGCGGGTGCTAGCAGTTTTGAGGTCTAAAGGTGGACCTACATGTTATTAGCAAGATGGTCATAATGTAATGTCTCTTCAGTGTATATCGTAATATTGTAAGGGAAAGAAAATCATACGAGTTCCTTAATTAAATTTATCTCAAAAAAATTTCGAAACTTCAAAACAATTTTTGAAGAAATTAATGCAGGATGTGGGAAGTGAGGTCAGAAGAGTAAGCAAACTGAATTTTTTACAGTGCATATGTTATCGTGATTGGCCGAAATCAAGAAAATGTCGATTTGATATATATTTTTTCTTTGATACTATTATATTTAATATCTGCTGACGATAGATTAGGAGAAACATCAGTGTTCGGAGTACCGGTTAAATGCATGCAGGGCAGTGGCACTAGACCTTAAAAAAACATTGATGCAGGGCATACTGGGCAAAAGTATACGGAGCAGTGGCACTTAGTTAAACTTAGTATAGATTTCGGACATTTACAAACCAACTATGTGATTTCAACACTCACCGGAAGTCAACAACCGCCGATATCGGTCATTCATAGTAACACATATAAAGTGAACAATTTCAACTTCCGTAGAAAAAACTGTTGGGCGTGCTCAATCGATCGCAAGGCCATCATGCTCACCAGATTTGTTTTGAAAGATTTCCCCTGTAAAAAATTTTAAAGGACGTTTTTACAATTTTAGAACTGTAAATTGCAATACAATAATAGTTTATAAGTTGAATAAAATTGGAAAGTTCATTTTTCTATACTCCCTTGCCTTTAATATTTTAATATCGGGTTATAAATTTCGCTCCAATTGAAATAGCGAATAGGAAAGCACTATAATTAACACATAGGGATTAAAATTGCAGCATTATGTAATGCAATTCATCGGCATCAAAAAATATGCAGATGGTAATAGAAGTCGACATATTTCAAGCTTTTTCTCTGGAAAGTCTTGAGAATGAGAGGCCAGTGAAGGACCTAATTATGCTAAACATACAACCACTTAAGATTTAATCATTTATCCCACAATACTTTGTTATCTGAAGTTTAACCTTTTTCGATACATAATGTGTCGGTACATCAATGCCTTAAGATTGAAATTTCAACATTATGA